CACACAATTTACTGTAGATTTAAAAATATTGAAAACCAGACATACTGGGTTACTGGCCTGCTAGCAGCCATCGTTTTAAACACTATGCTGTTATTTGGGTAAATTTTATATAAAAACAATTTTTTTTTTTAAAAGATGACCGGTAAGGGGATCTTAACCCTTGACTTGGTGTTGGCATCACAGAATACTTATGCAATAATAATTCCTGGACACCAGAGGCCACAGAAAACTTACTGGTGGAAGAGCTAGCGTTTACCATGCTTTTGTCAGTTTCCATTTTAAGTGCATTTTGAGATTTATCTTCAAAACATTCCTATTTTTTGGCATACAGTAAGAAGGGATTTTTTTTTTAACCAAAATTTGTCTGCCTTTCTTCAGCGTTAATACAATGCACAACCGCAACCTAATTCCTCAGTCCCTGAATATGCACACAGACACACATGCATATAACACATGGCAGTTCCCTGAAATTGCTTAATCAGATTACAGCTCAAAACGCTCACTGACACTTCCTTGCAGAACCGACCTAATGAGTTTTCAGTTCTGAACTAAAAACAGTTTCAAACAGGACAGGTTTCCTTCTTGGCCACCACTTTTAAATTAGGAAGGATTGGGCTGGCCTGGTGGCGCACTGCTACAGTGCGCCGCTTGGGAAGCCTGGCGGCGCTCCCGCCGAGGGTTCAGATCCCGACTGGCAGCCCAGATCCCGACCGGCAGCTCACTGGCTGAGCGAACCCGTTGCCAGTCCCACCCTGGTATGGGCGTGACACTGAGGGTGGGCACGACACTGAGGGTTGCGATCCGTTGCCGGTCACGAAAAAAGACAAAAAAAAATAAGTAAACCATCAAGGAACTTTCTATTTAAAGGACCCCCATGGTGAATCATTCTGTACAGCACATTTGTTTCATTTTTGTCGACCTAGATGTGAGTTCTTGGCTCTTGCTATGCTGCAAGGTAGCAATGTGATGTTGAACAAGTCACATGGCCTGTTTCTTCCATAGTAAAACGGGATTGGGGGTTTGGATGACATCTGTGATTGTTGCTAAGCCACATCAGAATCCTCGTCAACCTCGAGACTCTGCTTTAGTAGGCCTAAAGTAGACCTACTGCCACATTTGGGAAGTTCAAGAGCAGGTGATTTCTAAGGTCTTTTTCAACTCTAAAGTCATTTATATCATATACTAGGTTTGCTTAAATTGAGGTTTATTCATACTGTGAATCAGTTTCTGTCTTTCCTGCCACATTCCCTGTGAATTGGGAGTCTCCCCCACCCCAAACAGGATATCTTTATCTACTTCACTAGTAGTTTTCCAAGAATACAGCTTTGTTTACTCTCACCAAAGCATCTCCCACCTCAGTGTCACCTTGACATTTTCCAAGGCATTTCTGCTCCCTCTTTTAGAGACTCAGTCCCACTTACAGCCTTTTCCAGGGTCCTCCAGCTTCATGTGTCCAAATGCCCTAGCCTCAGACTCTTCAGTCACTTGGTTGGCTTCCTGGTGGGAGTACACTGACATCTTGAAGATGATGGTCCAGAACCTACAAACTCTCCAGGTGGCAGGTGACAGAACAGATGGAGAGGAGGGGACGGATGCTGGGTGAAACCAGGTGCAGCACCCTGTTCCCATCCAAAAGATAAGGTCTTCAGGGAGGAAGAAAAAAATATTAAAGGGAAGAGAAAGGGTAAGAAACTCTGAATGCTAACCCAGCTCACCTCATCTCAGAGACAGTCCAGAGGGGCCTGAGCCCAGAGGGGGCAACCCTGTCTGCACGGGAGACTTCAGGCCCACCCTGTGTAGCAGCGCTGCCAGCCTTCTGCATCCCAGGCCTTTTGTGGTGCCCCTCCCTCAAGCTACGCTAGCTCTGTGCCCCTCCCGGCAATCCCAGGGTTGAGGCTAGTTGGAAGGTTCCTATGGAGAACCAGTGACACAAAGTCTCCTCCCTCTGCTCCCCACCCCCATCTCCTTGGTCATTTCTTTCACCTCCCAGGGCCTGCCATGCCTAACTGTCCCATCTTCATCTCCCCCTCCTCGTGAAGCCCCACCTGCTTCCTGCCTCTCCTATCTGAGGACTCCAGTGATCTAAGAATTCACCTCCCAGGGCCTGCCATGCCTAACTGTCCCATCTTCATCTCCCCCTCCTCGTGAAGCACCACCTGCTTCCTGCCTCTCCTATCTCAGGACTCCAGTGATCTAAGAGTGGTGTCTGAGAAAGCAAAGGCTACTTTCTTCTTACTCCTAGCCCAGCTGGAATGGGCCCAAGAGAAGGAATCCTTGGCCCTTGCTGCTCCCTCAGCCCCTGGAATGACATTCCCAAGGAGGGGAGCATAAGGGCAGGAAGGTATATGGAGTTAAATGGACTTGTGGGTGGGGAGACCAGACTGCTGGGTTTTTATTGTGGGCCAGCTCCTGGCTCTCTGCATAACCTCAGTTTATATGACTTGGACATTGGATAGGGAAAGGGGGAGAAAGGGTATTATTACTAGGATCTGGGGCCATTACAATGGAGGCGGAAAAAAATCCAAACTGCAGGCTCAGAGTGGCCCAAAACATTTGTTTCTATTTGGTCTGTGGGGCTGAGCCATGGAGCAGGTAAAAGGTGAAAGTCAGTAGCTGGGCAAGCAGAGGGCGGGGGCGATTCAAGGCCAGTAAGATGATTTCCAGGTTGTTTCTGGCAGTATCTTAGGAGTCCTGAGGATGGAGTGGGAGATAAGGGACCACCCAAGAGCACTGAAGGAGCAAGAAGACAAGGACGCGGTAATTGGGGAGAAATATGAGGAACATAGAGCAGTGATTTATATCCCACGCAGTTGTCAGAGGCTTACTCTCCACTAACTCACTGAATTCCCACAGTTCTGAGGTGTGAATTCATGTCCCCACTGCCACCAGTGCCTAAAAAGTCTCATTTTACAAAGCAGGAAACTGATGTCGAGTGAGATTAAGACGCTCTCCCGGAGTTATAGCTGCTAAGCAGTGGAGCTGGGTCTTGCTCACGCCGGTCTCTGTGCGTAACCTTGCTCCTCTGTTGTTGTGCTTAGTCCTACCCCATGTATCAGCCTCTTCAGACCTACAATTTTCTGGGGCGGGGAAAATAATGAGTCTGCCCATGCCCTCTGGACATTTGCCGTGCCAGGAGCTGAGAGGTAGCCATTGTGAGGTTGGGCCCACATGGAAAGCTGACCAGAAGTAAAACGTCAGCATCCCTCCAGAGGAGTTTTCCTATCTCTGTTCCCTCACTCTCACCCCACAGGTCAGGCAGTGCCAGGGAGCTGGTTCTTGAGCACCTCACTCTATTGCTGGTAACATCTCATTTCCCACAACATATCCCTGCCAAGAACTCATCCCAGACCCCAGGATTAAGTGTTGGGCTGAAGTGTGGTCCTCAGCCTACAGCAGGCAGCAGGGGTGAAAATTAGTTTATGTGCCTGAAAGCCAGAACCCAAATGGGAGAGCTTGTGGAACATTGGGTTGACTCAGCTAGACTGAAGTCAGGACAGCCCTCGCCCTGTGCCAGCCCCGACTCGGAACTACACCTATGAGTGCGGGCATTGGAAGGGAAACCCAGGCTGAGAGGTGGGGCATGAACTGTAGCTAGAAGGGGCCTGCATAACTGAGGTCCAGGAACATGAATGGCCTGCCCAAGACTACACAGTAGGCTAGTAGCAGAGCTGAGCTGAGGACTGAGCCTCTGGACTCCGTCTACAACTCCAGGGCCTTTTCACCTGACTGCTTCCTCAGGAGACGAGTGAAAGCTACTCTCACTCCCAAAGGAAGTAAATAGGTGCCTATGTGGACAGAGCACAGATTACACTTAAAGATGAGGGCTTGGATGCTTCGAGTGCCACCATCCACAGTTCAGAACCCAAGTGGTGATGAACCACCTACACCTGTTTGACTTCTCGGATTCCTGGATCCTTTTAGCCACTGGGTCCCTTTGACTCGGTCATGCATCTTCACCAGCCCTATTTAATGAGACTGAGGAACTGCACTGGACTAGGAAGTCAGTGCCTGGTTGTTCAGCTCAACTTCTCTCTGCCTGTTGACCAACTGGACAAATCCCCCTTATACTCTTGAATCTACTTGTCTATCAAAGACATGAGGAAAAACCTCCCTTCCCTGAGAGGACCCTTAAGAGTGTCTTTTTGGGGCCGGCCCGTGTCTCACTTGGGAGAGTGCGGTGCTGATAACACCAAGGCCCCGGGTTCGGATCCCTATATAGGGATGGCCGGTTGGCTCACTTGGGAGAGCGTGGTGCTGACAACACCAAGTCAAGGGTTAAGATCCCCTTAAAGGTCATCTTTTTTAAAAAAAAGTGTCTTTTTGCCCTTACCAATGGAAAAGAACTGAAGTTTTTATAAAGAGGAAACCATCATCATAGTCTCATAAACATTTACCATCATTAAGTAAGTTTCCAAGAGGAACAGACTGACCCATTTGGCTGGGCAAAGCAAGAGTGAACATCTTGGGAAATTTGAGCTCCTTACACCCTTCCAGTACGGCTCAGGTTCCAGGTTAGTTACTTCTCTGGTCTCCTTCCCTGGGCTCCAACTGTCAACCACTGGGGGTGCAGGGTCTGAGGAATGTTGCTGACCCCACAGTTCCTCCCCCTCGAAGGCCTAGACCCCTTGTTGCTCTGTACAAGTGTTCCCTCCCACAGTCCAGAGCAGAAAATCTGCCCAAGGGGCAGCAAATTCCTTAGGCAAGTCTGAGATGTGTCCTTCGTGCCCCCCCAAAGGGTGAAGTTACAGCAGAATGCAGGGGAGGTAGTCAGCGAGACAGCTGCTTCCATGCTCATCCCTTAGCCTGGCCAAGTGAGTGCTGCTTCCCCCCACCTGCCAGTGCTGTGACAGTCCTGTAGTCACTACCATTGATGTACTGGGCTTGAACTCCGAGTTCAGCAGCCACACAGGAGACAGGAGGGAAGATAACAAGGTGACTAGAAGGGCACAGGAGGGTTGAACTGAACAGGGAAGAGATCAAAAGTACAGCCAGAATCCTACTTGTCTTTTTTCCATTCTCCTTTATTCCATAAACACCTAGTTACAAGTTGCACAAATCAAAAAATAAAGGCAGAAAAGAGTGTAGGGAAGATTTCTGTGACTGTGTGGGTGGGAGTGGGGAGGGAGAAAGAGTTGGGAACCAGTCGCTCCCTGTGCGGCCCTGGACAGGGCTATGGCCTCTGCAGCAGGGGCTCTGAGGGAGAGGTGAGCAAAGACCCAGGGGAGCTGAGGGCTGCAGGAGGCCCCTAAACCCAGAGCTCACCCCAAAAGACCCTGCAGTGCTTGGCAGGGGCAGAACCGGGAAGGTGAGGAGGTTCAACGATAGAGCAGCAAAATGAGAAGATGGAGTCATGGTGGTGAGGTGATTAAGGAAGGAAAAAGTAGGTAAAGGGGGCAGTGAAAGTTTCTCCCTGAGACCCCCAGGGAGAGGTGGGGGCCAGCTTGCCTGTTAATTTAATATTAAATTGGGGGTGGGAGTTGGAGAGGAACAGTTACTTCGGGGATGATTTCTCGGCCTCTCAGCCTGTACCTGGAGGGGGAAGAAAAGTGAACACAAGTCAGGAGGAGGAAATAACATGAAGGGCTTTTAATGCCCGACTGCGCGAGAGCAGTCTCCTCGCTCTGGCCAGCCCAACCCCGCCGGGCCCCACGCCCCTCCACGCGTCCCCTAGAATACTCACAAGAGGCCGCGGGCCCGGGGCCCTCACCAGTCGTAGCGGCGGGACTGTCGGGAGGGGGAGTCCTCAGGTCCCTGTATGGCCAGGCGGGGCGGCCCCTCAGCCCTTCGTCCTCCACCCCCGGGCGCCTCATGCCGCCGAAACTCCAGGGGCCGCTGCTGCCGGAATCGGGACGTCTCCCTCCGCCACTCATCATCAAATGCTGCGGCCTCACCTAAGAGGAGCGAGACACAGCGTGCGGACAGCCTGGCTTCTGAGGCAGAAGCCAGTGAGCCGCAGCCTTTAGGACCAAAAGGGGGGGCGGAGGCTGGAAGTGTTGGGGGACGTGTGCGGGGAGGACGGCAGCTTCACTTGGCTCTTCTGGCTTCAACATGCCCGGGAAGCCACTGGCAGGCCTAAGGCATGACTACTGAAGGAAGAAATCCGGAGTGGGATAGCATTTAGTGAAGGCTCGTAGTCCCACACACAGTAGGTACTTAATAAATACTTGCTGATTTGAGAAAAATGAAATAAAGGGAGGGGAAATAAAATAACTGACTCAGATGCAGAAGGGTAGAATACTACCAATATTTGTATTGGTATATTTGACTTCAGTGACAAAGTTTGCCCTTCCTTGGTAAGGGCATACTGCCAGCATCTGACCCAGCCCCTAATCAGACAAGACGACTCCAAGTGAGGAAAGAGTAAGGGGCTCATCCATAACTTTACCCAAGAAATATCTGTGGGGATGGGGAGAGAAAGCTGGTATCTCCTAGCTCTCGGGAACTGGCCTAGGGACTGCTAGAAGGAAGACTCACTCTCATCCAGGTTGATATAGTCCTGCCGCTCCTCCTGGTCGCCTGTGCGGTGATTTCGGGAGCGCTGGAGGATGTGAGCCCTGTCCCGAATGTGATGCCCGATGGACATCTGCTCTAGTCCACTGTCTGAGTCTCGGACAGTCCTCCGTGTCTCTCGGATCTGGGATGAGGCAAAACATGGTACTCTCAGCTGCCCTTTCTAAAGCCCTGGCTATAACATCCCAGGATAAATGTACCACCCACATCCCAATCCTGAAAAAAAGAAGCCAGGGTTTTTGTGGATAGCACTCAATCCTCCCTTCTCTGGGACAGGAGAGTAGGAGAGTCGCCAACTCACCCCGCCTGGTGCTGAACGCATCTCTGATGTCTCTTGGTAGACCTTAGGGGCACCATCACCCGTATTGGAGTAGGAAATGACAGTGGAGGATGAAAAGGTCTGGCAATTGCCTCCAGCTGTCATGTGTTCCTGAGCAGGAAAGGGTAGGATGGCACTGAATGGAGAATCCCTCTGAAAAAGGGATTTCACCCTTCAGCTGCCTGTCCTTGCCCATATCTTTGTCACAAAATGTGAGGACTCATTGTTATCCCCCAAATTCCTCTACACTGGGGCCGGCCCGTGGCCACGGGTGTGGTGCTGATGGCACCAAGGCCGCAGGTTCAGATCCCTGTATAGGGATGGCCAGTTAGCTCACTGGGTGAGCGCGGTGCTGACAACACCAAGTCAAGAAGGGTTAAGATCCCCTTACCAGTCATCTTTTAAAAAAATTAAAAATAAATAAATAAATTCCTCTACACTAGCAATAAACGAAAACCTTAAGAGATAGAGCATTAATTACATATTTAATAAGAGTGCTGCTGCTACTTCGCTTTCAGGCATGAGAGCAGATACAGGATCCCAGTCCTCTCCGGGTTCAATTACTTTATGCAGCTTGAACCCTTCACTAGTACACTCTTCCCTGTCTCAGAGGATTCAAGGTGCTGCCAACCACCACTGAGAACAAGGCCAAGGAAGGATATGGGGCAGGAGTCTCACCATGTTCCCAATCATGTCATTCATCATCCCAAACATGTCCATGAAGCCACCTGACTGGAGGAAAGGGACGGAAAACGGGGGAAAAAAAGTCAGTGCTCAGATCTTGTTTAGGTACCCACTAGCCACATGACTACACCTTCCCTTTCTCTTCTTCCTTTTCATCTAGCAACTGGTCTTTCTCATGCTCCATTAACATGACCAGAACACTCATGTTTCTCCTCCTGTAAACTGCCAACCTTCTCCCCAGTCTCTATAGCTCCTCTGGTCCAATTTTCCTTCTCCTGACTGCCATATTTCCCCCATCTTTAGGAAGTAAGCCAAAGTTAATGGATTTTAACCTCTAAAGAGGTAGGGCCTAGAATTGTTAAAATCTACTAAAAACCATCTCTGGGTGGCCCTTCAACTGCACCTCCCTCCTCAAAAGAACAAACTTTACTAGACAGTTACATCTTTCTAATGAGTATATACTCCTAGGAGTACAGAAGTCAATAACATCTTTAACTCACAAGACTCATAGCACCCAACAGGCTCAGAGCTCTGTGAACACTATAAGGAAAAGATTCTGGGGTTACCCATGAGGCTATTCCAAAGAGGAACATCTGGGGCCGGCCTGTGGCTCACTCGGGAGAGTGCGGTGCTGATGACACCAAGGCCACAGGTTCGGATTCCACATAGGGATGGCCAGTTTGCTCACTGGGTGAGCGTGGTGCTGACAAAGAGGAACAACTGGAAGTAACATCTAAGGTTATAGAGTGCATCTGAGATGGAAAGACACAGGGAGATAAGGACTCACCATTCCCAGCATCCCAAAGGGGGAGACGGCCCCGGCCTACAAGAACACACGAGGAACAGAAATTAGAGACCACATCCTATCTCATTACAATCCCAAACCAGGCCCATGACCTCATTTTTTTTCCCCATCCTCCTCAAAAGGATTCACAAAGCCCTTTTGCCAGACCCATTCCCCCGGTCCTACAAGATCATTTCACTTGCTAAGTTGGCTACAGTGCAAGAGAAATAAAGTGCTTTACTAACCACCCACTAACTTTTCTTTGGGTCTCAGGTTTATTTCAGCACCATTACCTGCATCCTGCGGCTGGCAGGCCTGGTCCCTGGCATGTTGCCATCTGTGATGCTGAGGAAGGGGCTATATCCAAAGCCACCTGACAACATACGGCTCATATGCTGACGGTGAATAGCAAAGGGGTCCCTGTGGAGTGAGCAGACAGTATAGGTGCATAAAGAAGGGCTGAGCCATCAACCCCCTCCCCCCCCCACCACCACAAGAAAACAGTCATTGGGAACAGTAGCACAGATGCCTGCTTCCCTTTAAGTCAGAGCTGGAGCTGAGTATCCAGCCATTCCCAGCAATGGGAGCCCAGAACTGCTCAGAGACCTGAAGTGGAGTGGGATGAGGACTCTAGAGCATGTGGGGGAGGGAGTACTTACATCAAGAACATGGGATCCTCGGGCTCCACGTCTCTCATGAAGCGGAACATCCTGATCTCAGCTCCAGGGGGCTCCACACTGTAAAGATGTGGAGGCTCAGACACTTGGAGGCGGCCGGGCTTTTGCACACCCGCTCAGTGTAGGGACTCTCAGAGCACTGTCCTTTCCAAATACTGTAACTGACCCCCCAAACTCCAGGGAGACCCTTCTCCACGTGTTCCACACAACCCTCTAGGGAGAGAAGAGCTCTTCAAACCCCTCTCTCTCAACTAGGGCAATGGAAAATTTTTCCAAGCCTGTCAGTTTTTTGCCTCCCCCACTCAGAGCCACCCTCTTCCCAAACCCTAGCCAGGAGCACACTCCTCCCTCCTCCCCCGACGCCACTGTTCTAGATGAGAATCCCAAGGGCCGGCCCTCCACCCCATTAATGACCCCGACGACCCCGCCTCTTCTCACACTCAGCCGCTGCCGGCCTCCCCCAGGCGGACCTCGCCATCCCACCGCGCCTGTCCGCGGCTCCCCCAGCACCTGCCTTTCCGCGGGGCGAATGGGAGATGTAGGCCTGACCCTCTCCCCTCCCCGCATCCCAGGCTCCCGGACCCTGCAGCCCCGCGGGCACGCTTCCGCCCCGGCCCAGGCTGCCCGCTCTGCTCGAGCCTCACCGGTCCCCGATCCGGGCTCAGCGGCCCATCCGGCCGGTTTCGCTTCCCAGTGCGCTGCAGGATCAGGACCGCGGCCCGGCACACGGGGATTGGTCCGGGCTTGAGGGCCTCGTTCACCCGCGCCGCCTCCTCGCACAGCTGCCACCTCTGTACCCCGCCTCGGCCCACGGAGCCCGAACCTCGGCCAGGCCTGGGCGGAAGTGACGTCACGGAAGACACGCCCACCCGGGGCCGGGCCGAGAGCCCCGCCCACTGGCGTGGGTGGGGAGGGGGCTGGCGCGGCGTCCTGGGGTGGTGGGGCGCGGGGGAGCGGTGCCTGGGACCGGGCGGGGTCTTCTGCGGTCGAGGGGAGGGAAAGCCTCATTAGTAACCTGGATTTGGGTTCTGTGGATAGAAAGAGGCTCCCTGGGGCCGGCCCGGTGGTGCACTCGGTAGAGTGCGGCGTGTGGGAGCGCGGCGGCGCTCCCGTCGAGGGTTCGGATCCCATATAGAGACCGGTCCGCTCACTGGTTGAGCGCGGTGAGGGCGCGACACCGAGGGTTGCGATCCCGTTGCCGGTGTCCGGTACGGGCGCGACACTGAGGGTTGCGTTACCGGTCACGAAAAAAGACAAAAAGGAAAAAAAAAAAAAAAAAAAAAAAAAAAAAAAAAAAAAAAAAAAAGAGGCTCCCTGTAAAGGTGGAGGTAGGAGGAGAGAAATCCATTCCTCGGGAGGGACCGGGCTGGGGGTGACGAGGGGGAGGGCGGTGCAACACGTTCCCTCAGGGGAAAGAGGAGGACGAGGTACAGACACCCATGGGAGGGGCGGATCCCTGGGGGGAGCTTTTTTTTTTTTTTTTCCTTTTTGTCCTTTTTTTACTGACCGGTAATAAAGAGATTTTCTACTGGGGAAGCCGTTCAGCCGGAGGAGGAAGGGCAACATTTCTGCGGAGGAGGCGCTTGGCCTGTCTCCTCCGGGAGGAGGAGGAGCGTCTTGGCAGGGCGGGGTCCTCGAAATGACGCTAGGGAGGAGGCGACAACTCTCCAGCCCAGGTCTAGTTCAGGCTTCGAAAAGTCGGAATGGGGCGAAGAGAATCCAGGTTGGGCGGACTGGCCGCCAGATGGCGCCCCGCGGCCAGGCTGGAACTACAGCCCCTTGGGAACTGGTGTTGGCGAGGCTCCTGGACCCCTCAGTTACCCGTCTTTGAAGGGTCGGACTGGGGAAAGGCTCTGAATCTTTGAGTTTAGTGCTCATTTCCCCTTTCTTTTCACTAGCCTTTGTGCCATCAAAAGCTCCCAGTCCTGCATTGATCTTTCTTGCCTCTAGTCAGGTAGGTAGGTCAAGGGTCTAAAGTTTGGGAGAAGAAAGGGGTGGAGAGCTCAATTAACCAGGATCACCCAGGGGTGGAGCTAAAAACAGAGCCCAGGAGAACTGACTCCAAGGCCAGAGACTGATACTTTGACATACTAAATGTCTTGCATAAAATGTGGCTCTGCTGGAGAGAAGGGCCCTCCCCCTTGGGATCAGGGGATTTGGACTGTCTAGTATGGACTTTAAACTAGAGTCATCCAAGCTCCAGATCTCCCTGGTTCTTTACTCTGGCTGTTAGCCATATTAGTGCTGTGTGGAGCCTGACCCAATGAGAAAGACTTGTTCCTAATAACTCCCTTGGGGTGAGGGAGGAAAGGGTCCCTGGTGATTCAGGAAAAGGTGCGGGGAGCAGGGCTTCTTACGTTTCTTTGGATTTGATCATTATTAAAGAGGAAAATACAATAGTGGAGACGGGGAACAGAGACAGATAATTAAGATATAAGCGGGCAAACTGGCAAATTCCAAGTAAAACAGAGACAGAATACAAGATAATTTGTTTTTCATTGATATTTCTGGGGAAGAAACTTAGTAAAATCTTTTATTTTCCAGATGCTCTGGATATCCCACCATGCAACTGCCCGTTTTCCTCTAAAACAGAGACAGAATACAAGATAATTTGTTTTTCATTGATATTTCTGGGGAAGAAACTTAGCAAAATCTTTTATTTTCCAGATGCTCTGGATATCCCACCATGCAACTGCCCGTTTTCCTCATGGCTCAAGAGAAAGTAGTTTGACATGTGATCAAGAGTTAGCCCTTGGGCCGGCCCGTGGCTCACTCGGGAGAGCATGGTGCTGATAACACCAAGTCTAAGATTCCCTTACTGGTCATCTTTAAAAAAAATAAAAAAAGAAAAGTTACCCCTTTAGGGTTCCGTAGTCCAGAACTTACCCACAATTTTTTTGTACTCTCCTCCTTCCAAAGCAAGTTTGACAAAAGCAAAGTTGGACAATATGTCCAGCCAATCAAAGATGTTTAGTGAGGCCTCGCACTGTCCTAGGTGCACCGTACTAAGCATAAATACAAAAGTATTCGACAGTGTCCCTGCCAATTGAGGCATACTCTCTTCTAGCCTCCTTTTTTCTTTTTCGATTACGTGGTATCTTCTACCTACTGCCTTTAGATACATAGAGCCCTTTCTCTTCTTCCTTCCAAAAGTTAAGAATCTGATATCAGTCATTTTTACCTTTTCTTGATTTTAAATAAATGTATTACCTAGGAATATTTTCACATTACAACTTAGCTTCTAATTATGAGACAAAGCTCAAAATCTGGGTTTTATCCCAGGTTAAAAAAAAATTATTGAATAGGTGGGGATAAAGGAGGGGATGCAAGAGGCCATTTTCTGAGTTCCCGGAGACATACCGTACAGGCAGCTGTCTACTCCAGGAACTGAAGGGATACACTTTTACAAGTAACCAGAGTTTGTGTCTTTCTTCTCCCTCCTTCTCTTTTTCCTTCTTTATCCTTCCTTTTCCTCCCTGCCTTTCTCTCTCTCTCTTTCTCTCCGTTCTTCCTTCTCTCCCTCTCTCCCTCCTTCCTTTCTTCTCCTTTCTTTCCTCTTTCCAATGAACTGTGATGAACAGGAATTCCTCAGTCACTGGAGTGTCCCACAGATGATAGATGTGGGAGGGAAGTGGGCCCTGCCAGGAGTAAGGCTTAACGAAAGGAGGATAAGGATTATTGGGAAGGAAGAGAAAGCAAGCGGTTCCTACATTCACTGCTCTATCTGATGGAGCCAAAGTCAGGAAGTCCTTGAGAGGGTAGAGCTGGGCCAGGAAAGAGGCCTTCTTTAGATGTGAGGTCATGCATCCGGAACAATCCCAGGGCAGCTGGATATTTGAACAGAGTGAGGGTGGAGCAATGATGTTGTGGGAGTTAGGGGAGTCTGGACTTCTTGTCTGAGCCAAAGTGAGTGGGTGTGACTGAGTGTGTGTGTATATGAGCACATGTGTTGGGGGAGGTAGAGAAACCCTAAAAATTAGCACTATGCTGCCCCCAGGTCCAGAGAGTGGACACCACCACCTCAGAGTGATATTGAAAAGCAGCTCAGGAGCATTTTTAAAAAGTTTTTAAAAAGTCAGCTTTTCAGTGTGATTTTTATATCCACATTTGTTCAACAAATATTTATTGAATGCCTACTATGTGTCAGGTACTGTTCATGGCTCTGGAGATAGAGTAATAATATAGAGAAAAATAAAGCAAGGTAGAAGGGGGATAGAGAGAAAGGCAGGGAGCTGGGAGGTGGTGGTTGCTTTTTTATATAGATGACTAGAGAAGGCCTCACTGATAAAGTTACATTTAAGCAGGGACCTGAATAAGATGAGGGAAATAGCTGGGGTGAGAGCATTCTGGGCAGAGGAGATAGCAAGTGCAAGGCCCTGACACAGAAGTATGCTTACTGTCTTCAAGGAACAACAAGAAAGCCAATATGCCTGAAAGAGCAGTAATGAGAGACAATGCCACAGAAGAGGAAGGAAGCCAGATCATGTGGGACTTTGTAAGCCCTTGTAAAACCTATCAAAGGATCGCTCTGGCTGCTGTATGGAGAATAGACTTGGGGGAGGTGGGGCAGCAAGGCAACAGCAGAAGCAGAAAGACCTACTAGCATGCAGTTGCCATAATCCAGATGGGGCATGACGGTGGCTTAGGGCAGGTTGGAAGCAGTGGAGGCAATGAGAAGTGGTCCAGAGTCTAGATATATTTTGAAGATGAAGCTAACAAAATTTGCTGATAGACAAAGATGCAGTATAGAGAGAGGAGTCAAGGAAGACTCCAAGGTTTTTGGCTTGGGCAACTGAATGAGAAATAAATGACCATTCTGCTTGCCACACTGTACTCAGTACATACAAATACCGTTTTGAAAATATATTAAAATTGTGACTGGCTGGAAAATCCTGACCGTGTGGCTGCACAGGATAACTGACCTGAACAGCCTTACCACCTACAGCAGGAGGAGATGTGGACAGCAGGAATAAGTGAATTCCACACCCAGTTTGACCATAAGATATTAGATGTTAGGCCATCTTGGGTAGATATGCTAACACTAGTGGTTGGCATTAGCATTGGAGTTTGAAGCTGTCCTTTAATCATTTCAAGAAGACATCCTGGACAAGGCGGGATGTCTTGTGATTAACATGGGCGTTAAGGATTGAAGTTTGTGCTAACCGTGTGGTAGTTCAGGTCAGTACACATTTATTGAGCTCCTGCTATGTGCCAAGCATAGAGCTAGGTTCTGGGGATAAAAAGACAAGTAAGAGATGCTCTCTGCCCAAGAGGGTTCACAACCTACTGAGGGTGGCCAACCTGTAATCAATTATAATCCTGTGATGCAGGCTGTAATAGAAAGATGGATATTAAGTGCCAGCCCGTGGCTCACTCGGGAGAGTGCGGTGCTGAGACCACCAAGGCCCCGGGTTCGGATACAACATATGGATGGCCAGTTGGCTTACTTGGGTGAGCATGGTGCTGACAACAACAAGCCAAGGGTTAAGATCCCCTCACTGGTCATCTTTAAAAAAAAGGAAAGAAAGATGGATATTAAAAGGGCAAAAGTGGTTTAGAAGAGGGAGGGAGTAACTCAGGGGGTGGGGTGGGAAAGCCAGGGACAGCATTCCAGGCAGAAGGTACAGTCAGTGCAAAGGCAAAGAGGGTATGCCTCATTTGGGAGGAACGATGAGTAGTTAAAAAAAAAAAAAAAATCGCTGAAGCAAAACTTTTGAGATCGCAGTGGAGAGAGGTAAGGCTGCAGAAGTCAAAATTGACCAGACCTTGAAGGGTCCTATTTGATTCTGGGATTTATTTATCCTGTAGGCCTAG